GCAGCAGCTTTTCCTACAAGGGATGGGTCAGTGAACACTGATGTTCTGGGGACAAGTGGGAATTTCAATGTATATTTTATAGGTAGCTGGTTCTTTTTATGATGTCCAAATCCTGTGCATTAGAACTAACTCTCTTGCTGGCTTCACTGCCTTGTCGTCTCTTCCCCACTGCATGAAGTCACTGGGGCAAGGCCCAGTTTTACTGATAGCTGCCAGCAAGCGCATGCGCTCACTTTTTCCAGTAGTCTCAGTCTGATTTGATGGATATACCGGGACTGATGACACATCAGCATGGGATTCTTTCTTTTGCTTCTTGAGTAATTGTCCTATTAACAGCTGTCCCAGGCAAAGAGGAGGGGGAATGTCTGGGGAAGGAAGAAGGGTGGCTTCCTGGGGGAAGAAAGACACACCCTGGGTTTTACAAGGTTAATCAGCAGGTTCTGGAAAGGTTTGCACCTGCTCAGGCTTGATCTGGAACTCTAGATTGAGTGGAAGACAGTCTGTCTCCGCCCCCTACTATGGGGTATCAAATATCCTGGGCGCCCACACTCTGCCAGGCCTGCTGTTGCAATTGAGATTGTCTTTCTGCTTGTATTCTCCCCAGCCCTTGCAACTCTTTTTCCCTTTTTCTTCCTACCTTTGTAAAATTGCTAAGCAGGAAATTTTTCTAACTACTGTCTAGTCATTCTTTAACACAATAATACACTTCCTGCTCAGTCTCTCTCTCATTTTATATTCAAATAATTTTTATGCATATTTATATATCGAACCTGAAGTTCAGAGGCAAAAGAAAATGAATAGGATAGTGTGAGCAAAAACAAAAGATCACTTCCTTCCTATCCTTTCCCTGACATGTGTCTCTCTGTTCTCAGTGCCTGCCACCCCCTCCACACCCAGGACCCAGAGAAAGGAGAAGATGGTATGGCAGCTATCCCCAGATACTCTGGAGCCATTAGTGACCAAATGGGGCCGGATGAGGTGGCTCACGCCTGTAATCTTAGTACTTGGGAGGCCGAAGTGGGTGGATTGCCTGAGCCCACTGGATCGTGACCAGCCTGAGCAAGAGTGAGACCCCATCTCAGAAAAATAGCCAGATGTTGTGGTGGGCGCCTGTAGTACCAACTACTTGGGAGGCTGAGGAAAGAGAATCGCTTAAGCTCAAGACTTTGAGGTTGCTGTGAGCTACGATATCACAGCACCCTACCCAGGGCAACAAAGTGAGAGTCTGTCTCAAAAAAAAAAAAACCGACCAAATGAATTAACTTTCAAAATTACACGTCAGAACCACACCTCATCTCCCCAGTGTGGCCTCCCCACCTGTAGCTGCCGCATTTCATTTTAGTGAGTAGGCTGCATCTTACTTGATTTTACATTAGTCTTTTATACACTTTATTTTTTTATTTTATTTTTTGAGACAGAGTCTCACTTTGTTGCCCCTGGTAGAGTGCCGTGGTGTCATAGCTCACAATAACTTCAAACTTGAGCTCAAGTGATTCCCTTGCCTCAGCCTCCCAAGTAGTTGGAACTACAGGCACCTGCCACAATGCCTGGCTATTTTTAGAGACGAGGTCTCACTCTGGCTCAGGCTGGTCTCAAACTTGTGAGCTCAGGCAATCTACCCACCTCGGCCTCCCAGAGTGCTAGGATTACAGACATGAGCTACCACACCTGGCCTATCCATTTTTTATATTTTATTTTTTTTTTGAGACAGACCCTCAAGCTATCCCCCTGGGTAGAGTGTTGTGGCATCACAGCCCACAGCAACCTCCAACTCCTGGGCTCAAGTGATTCTTCTGCCTCAGCCTCCCAAGTAGCTGGGACCACAGGCGCCCGTCACAACAACCAGCTATTTTTTGGTTGCAGCCATCATTGTTGTTTTTTGTGGGCCCGGGCTGGATTCGAACCCGCCACCTTAGGTGTATGTGGCTGGCACCTTAGCCGCTTGAGCCACAGGCGCTGAGCCTCCATTTTATTTTTTATCCTAGCCACCTGGTTTTCAGCAAAAGACTCTTAGAAAATACAAAAGGAGCTTTCTAAAACATTTAGTTTTGTTGGTATTGTTCGTGATTCTCCATAAAGGATTATTCATGTTTTATTTATTTAAATTTTTTTTTAAATTTCAGATTAATATGAGGGTATGAACAATTAGGTTACACTGTTTGCATTTGTTAGGTAAGGTCCCTATTGTAGTTGTGCTTCTCACCCAGGAGGTGCAGCATATACCCTTACGTTGAGGTTTTGTTTAACTGTGTCAGGACTTAAAATTCTTCTGTATTTATTTATTTATTTTTGCAGTTTTTGGCCAGGGCTGGGTTTGAACCCGTCACCTCCGGCATATAGGGCCAGTGCCCTACTCCTGTGAGCCACAGGGGCCACCCTCTTCTATATTTATTGTGTCAAACAAATAACCACTCTCAGTATGCTGTCTCTCCTTGTACCTTCTCAACTAAGTGCTGGAACTTTAGTTGAGCCTTGATAGCTTTCAGTTCTGTGGGGGTTTTTTCTTTTGAGACAGAGTCTCACTGTGTCGCCCTTGGTAGAATACCGTGGCATCACAGCTCATAGCAACCTCAAACTCCTGGGCTTAAGCGATTCTCTTGCCTCAGCCTCCCAAGTAGCTGGGACTACAGGTGCCCACCACAACACCTGGCTACAGTTCTATGGTTTTTAAATACTTCCTTCTCAACCCTCTTGATTTATAGTTAAGAGGTTAATAGTCCCATATTTCTCCTCCTTTCTTACCCAATAGCAATATTTATCTTCACTGTCTCACTCAGGGGTTGAATGTTTTCTGTTTTCTTGGTAACTTGGCATACACTTCAAAACCTCCAAGGTGTGATTATGTGATTAATTAATTTCTTCTTTCTTTCTTTTTTTTTGAGACAGAGCCTCAAGCTGTCCCCCTGGGTAGAGTGCTGTGGCATTATAGCTCACAGCAACCTCCAACTCCTGGGCTCAAGTGAGTCTCCTGCCTCAGCCTCCCAAGTAGCTGGGACCACAGGCACCCGTCACAACATCCAGCTATTTTTTGGTTGCAGCCATCATTGTTGTTTTGGCGAGCCCGGGCTGGATTTGAACCCACCACCTTAGGTATATGTGGCTGGCGCCTTAGCCACTTGAGCCACAGGGGCTGAGCCTAATTTCTTCTTTCAACAGGAACACAGAATCACAAGCCTGCCTCCTTGAGACTCCATTCAATTATTCGTATTTGAGTGTCTAATAAGTTCTGTGCACTGTTCTAGGTTTTAAAGACACTATGCACAAAAATAATAGCTCTAGTTAAGTTTATATTCTAGTATTCACTGGGACACAGACAGTAAAACAAATAAATATGTTTTTGAATCAGTCTTTGAAATAGGTAAAGTAACTCATAAGTTTTGTAAGAATTCAAAGAGTATTCTCTTTGATGCTGGGGTATGTTTACATTCTGTGCCACTACTCCATAGTCTGAACGACACCAGATTAAGCCGCCTAACTCTGCAAGCACGTGATGGACTTGATTATCTAGTAAGTTATCAGCTGGTCTTGGCCTTAGTTGTACAAGGACTAATGACTTGCCCTATAGACTACAGGCTCTTCCCAGGAGAGAACCTGAGTTGACACCATCTTGTTCCCCAGCAGGGAGCAACACACAGTACAAACTCCAACTCAGTGATTCCCTAAATATGGTCTTTGCACCACTTACTTTACAATTACCCAAGCAGGCTGGGGTCACTGGCTCATAGCTGTGATCCTATCATTTTGGCAGTACCACTTGGGAGGATTGCTTGAGGCCAAGAGTTGAAGACCAGCCTCTCTACATTAAAAAAAAAAAAAAAAAAAATTAGCGGGGCTGGTGGCAGCTACTCCAGCGGCTGAGGCAAGGGCAAGGGGGCCGCTTGAACACAGGAGTCTGAACAGTGAGCTATGACACCACTTCACGCTAGCCTGGGACCCTGTCTCAAAAAAAAAAAAAAAAAAAGAGCGACCCCATGGTTACTGAATAAGACTCAGTGGGGCCTCACTTTGCAAGGTTAACAAGCTCCCTAAGTGACGTTGGGGGCTAAGTAATATTTAAGACTCATAAACATATTTTGGAAATACAGCCAGATGGGGTTAGAGAACTCCGGAAACTGAGTAAAGTAGCTTAAAAAGCAAGACTAAACGTTGTGGGGCATCAGCCAAGGAAGGGCTCTTCGGGGTGTCCCTATCATTACAAAAATTGGTATTATGCCATCTCTCTCTCACACTAATGTTCCACCACCACCCTGACAACCCAGTCGCAGAGCTGTTTCCGTGATGGGATTTTTGTCTCGGCCAAAAGGGGCAACTGTCCTAGACTACCAGGGTTGCTGCGCCAGGCCCCAACCGAGGTTTCCGCCGCCAGCACCAAAGATGGCGGTATGAGCGTCGCAGGAGAACCACATGCTGTGCCCCGCCTCAGCCCCCTCGGGTCTCACTGGACTTTTGCAAGTCACTGGGGGACCCCTCAGTGGGGGGACTGCATGCTCCGGTGGCAATAGCCCTCCCTAGACCCTCATTCCTCAGCCGCGGAATGCACTGAAAGAACCCAGCCTGTATACTTTGCACCCAGCCTTGTAACACACGGCCACGGCAAACACGCGCCGGAGGGGTCCAGAAGGCCGGGCACTAGGGCCTTCGCCCTACCCATTGGTGGGTACACGTCGCGGGGCGGGCCTAGACCCTTATTGGACCATGGACCTTGTCAGTCTTGGGAGATCGAGCCGGGGAGGAGGGGGCACACTCAGTCATTGGGCCCTCTCTTCTGTCAGTCAGAGCGATATCCGGCGACGGCCACGGTCTCCGCTTGTGGATTGGAGAGACTGCTCCTGGGGTGGCTGCAGCGGGCGGGCTTCCGAGTGCGGTGGAAGGAGGGGGCGGGGAGGGAAGCGGAGGCTGGGGATCTCTAGGCCGGCCGGCGGTGGCGGCGGCGAGGCCGGGACTTCGGCTGAGGGCCTGTGGCGGCAGCGGCGGACGCCTAGCTCAGCAGCGGGTATCGGGCACATTCCTTTCCCTGAAGGGAGGGGTGCAGCGCCGCGGGGCCGAGGCTTATGGGGTGAGGGGCGGCGGGATTGTTCTAGGGGCAGGAGGCGGGCGCCGAGTAGGGTTCCCGTCGGGGCCCAGCCCTGGGCCTGACAGGGAACGGCCGCGCGCGGGTCCGAGAGGAAAGCTGGCTCGAGGTGGGATGGACTGGGCAGGGTTGAGGGCATAGGAAGGCGTGGTATGAGGCCCAGACTTAGGATTGGGGTGGGGCCATAAGGACGGAGGGCGGGGTGGGGTTTGCTTGTAAGGGTGGGTCAAGGCCAGGGAAGTAGCACTTGTTCGCCAGCCGCCCCAGGAGGCTAGAAGCGGAGGCGCCGAGAGTGGGCATGGCGACTTGGTCCCAGCCGGACTCGGGTACCCTGGGGCAGGGTGGGACCGTGCTAAGGCCAAGGCCATTTGGCCCTAAGTCGATCTTTAAGAGACTTTGTACCGTTTCTCGAACTTAATTGGCCTCTGGGAGATTTTAGTGATAAATTGCGTGAGATGGGAGAGTAGCATTAAGCAGGAATTTGGGGTTGCAATTGTGTTTACTCTAACCAAATGAAGGTGTGTGTGCGTATGTGTAGATCCCTTTAAGGGGAAGATCTTTAGAATGAAGTTGGTAGATGGGTCACAACAGTGAAAGTGGTTGGTTTATCAAATTAATGGAAGCTCAAAAGTAAAGACCAGAAACGGAAAGGCAGATTGACCCCCTCCCCGCTTGGCAGTCTGAGTTGAGAATTTAGCCATATCCTTCGGCTTTGGCTCAGAAGGTCATATGAATGAAAATAAAACCTGCCTATGCAAATTCTGGACAGAATAGTTCTGTGAAGGCCCCCACCACCCTTCTTTTTTTTTTCTTTTAATGTGAGTATGATAGGAGAGGGAAATCAAAGCCGGGAAAAGAAAATGTATTATCTTTTGTTGTGAAGTGGTGGCTTGAACATTGTCCTTATGTCCTTTCACACCCATTAATAATCTCTCCTTCCCCTTTCACACTGGAAGGGACAGTGTGTGGGCCGTTTACTCCTGAGAGTTGGGAAACGAACTTTAAGATGGGAAATGAGCATTTCATGTTAAATACAGAAGCTGGATTAGGGAAAGGACTGGTAAATCAAACAAGGTATAAAATATTTTGGATGCCCTGGGCATTGTCTGCTGATCCATAACAAACTACCTTTTAGGGTAGTGCAGATCTAATGTCCAGTAACTGAGTTCCTTTGTGATCAAAACCTTCCTTTAATAGTTGTTGTTCAGTCTTTAACAGGTTGTTTTGGTTTTTCTCAGAGAGTGTTTTTTTCTTCCTATAAAAGTGGTCTTTTAATGTGTTTTGTGTCTTTTGTGAGGGTTTTCCTACCCTAAACATGGTGTGAAAAGTGTGGAAATCTTATCCTTTTGCTCTTGTGGTTCCCATTTCAGGTTTCTCTGGAAACCCCCCTGGTAAGTGTGGAGGAGGCGGGACACTCTGACCCAAGACAAAAGGCCTGTAGCTTCAGCCAAAGAAAATAAACCTTAGGAGGGAGAAAGAAAAAAAAAAATCATCAGCTGTTCCTGAGAACAGCCTGCAGTGGAATCTACAGAGAGGACAACTAATGTGAGTGAGGAAGTGACTGTATGTGGACTGTGGAGACAGTAAGTCACGTGGGCCCCAGGGCCTGGACTGGGTTAGGAACAGTTGTGCTTTGAGAAGTAAGGTGTCAAGAAGGGAAAAGTGAATGTGGTCTGGAAAGTGGCCTTGGCTCCACAGGGTGTGCTTTCCTCTGGGGCCATCAGGGACCTCAGTCCCTGTGTTCTGTCAGGGTGGGGTACAAGGTTGGCACTGAGGAGGGTAACCTGCTGGCTGGAGCGGCAGAGCAGTGGCCTTGATTTGTCTTTTGGAAGATTTTAAAACCAAAAAGCATAAACATTCTGGTCCTTCAGCAATGCTTTCTCTGAAGAAATACTTAACGGAAGGACTTCTCCAGTTCACCATTCTGCTGAGTCTGATTGGGGTGCGGGTGGACGTGGATACTTACCTGACCTCACAGCTTCCCCCACTCCGGGAGATCATCCTGGGGCCCAGTTCTGCCTATACTCAGACCCAGTTCCACAACCTGAGGAATACGTTGGATGGCTATGGTATCCACCCCAAGAGCATAGACCTGGACAATTACTTCACTGCCCGGCGGCTCCTCAGTCAGGTGAGGGCCCTGGACAGGTTCCAGGTGCCAACCACTGAGGTAAATGCCTGGCTGGTTCACCGGGACCCGGAAGGGTCTGTCTCTGGCAGCCAGCCCAGCTCGGGCCTCACCCTCGAGAGTTCCAGTGGCCTCCAAGATGTGACAGCCCCAGACAACGGGGTGCGAGAAAGTGAAACGGAGCAGGGATTCAGTGAAGATTTGGAGGATTTGGGGGCTGTAGCCCCTCCAGTCAGTGGAGACTTAACCAAAGAGGTTAGTGGCCCTGTGGTGGGTGGGTGGGTGGAACCTGGGGATGGGGTGGGGGTGGACAGGTCCTGAAGGACTGTGGTCGCAGCACTAAGCCCTATAGAGTCAGATAGGTTCTGGGGGTGTCTTGGGCACCATTCCTAGATAGTAATGGGCTGAATTGTCTGAGTTTAAGATTGGGAACTGGGAGCATTTCCCTGTGTTGAACCATTGACCCACCTCTGAATGTACTGTCAGGGCAGTGGGAGGTTTCTAGCACATGCCAGGGTGTTTACTGCTTGGATTTCAACATGACTGCTGGAGGCCTGGGGTGGGGGAGGGAGTCATGTTGTGATGGGCTTGGATGTGGTGTATATCTGTTGCTAAGACACAAATACTTTGTGGACTCTTGCTTTGTACTCCTCATCAAAACACATACATATCTCCTTTGTGGTCAGTCCTGTTACTGTTACAAGGTCCTGATAATTCAGCTTTCCTGGGCCTAAGCCAAAGGGTAGATTTGAATACTTATTCTTGGCCAGGAGAGGGCCAAGGCTCCCATTCTTTGCTTAAGGCCCTCTACTGGGAGTAGGGAAGAGAGGGCTGGGAGCTAGAAGAGAAACTGCATTCTACTGCCCCAGTCAGCTCACTTTGAGTTGTCAGAAGAGATCTTTAGTTCCTGTCACGTGGCTGACATAACAGTTCTGGGCAGAAAGCGATGCACTTCTTTGCCTTTATGCAAAGGCTGCTGCTGCCCCTATCCCACCAACATGATAAGCCTGCTTTGAGCTCTGGATTTGTTTGGCTCTGGCTGGCCACATAGCCTTAAAGAGCTGGGGAAAAGGCCCACTGCACTCCTCTGACCATTAGTGAAGGAGAAGGCGGATTGTGCTGGGCTTGGTTTTCCAAGGAGAGGATGTGAAGTTTTATAGATGCTGCAGAGCTTGGCTCTTTCTATCCACAAGATCAAACCACATTTTGCCTCCTCCTTACATTGTGTCCTGTTTCTGAGCTCATTTCTCTGAATATGACTGTCAAAGTATATGGCTTATTATAGGCCAGTGGTCCTCAACTGGGGATGATTTTGCCCGCCCCCCCGCCCCTCCCCTCCCCGGGACAAGCGGCAAAGTCTTTAGAAAGTTTTGGTTGTTTCACATGAGGGGAAGTGCTACTTGTGTTTAGTGGATAGAAGCCAGGGACGCTGCTTAACATCCCAAACCGTTCAGGACAAACAGATTTTTATTTGACCCCACTTGTCAGTAGTGTAGAGGTTGAGAAATCCTGCTCTGTGCCTGGTTGGCTCATACTGGATCTACTTTGGGAGGGACTAGGACTATCTGAGCATGATAGCCAGGAACATTTCTTACCTTTCAGGGCCTCTTAGGTCTTAGCTTTATGCCGAGCCACTTGGAACTTCACCTCTCTTCTGCTTCCCCTTCCCTTCAGTGGGCTGCAGTCTTGCACAGTGTCCTGAAGAAGTGTGCCTCCCAGCTTCTGCTTCCATGCTCCTGCCCCAGGCCAGCTTCTCCACAGCTGGGGGAACTGGGTTTGCTCTGGGGAACTCTGGAGCAAATGGAGGGATAACTCCACTCCTTTTCTTGCCTGGTACTCTCTCAGGATGAGATGGGATGTTTCGGTGATAACTGAGTGGATTTGGGGAAGAATGGGTTGAGACTTTGACCTTGCTTTTCTGTTTCTTGGCCCTCATGAAGCTTGTGCTTTCTCTGATCTCCAACCTTCACTGCTCCTTGGAAGGTGGGATGGGTCAGCATCAGGGGCCAGGCTGGGCATGGGGGAAGGGAGGATTATTATGTGTCTAGAACAACATTTCCTCAGCAACTCAGGGATAAAAATACCCAGGTCCAGAGCATGTGACAGGCACTGCTGGAGCCGGTATTATCCCTGGGGTAGTGGTGCGCCCTGCTGCCAGGCATGTCCAATGGACAGCCATAGGCTAGGCCCTTGTCAGGGATAGGATTCCCCTCGAGGTTGGCATTCTGCCCAGAGCAGGGGGGTGGCCTGTTTACAGCTCTTTCAGGCTAGGAGCAGGCTGTGACCAGAGAGAACATACTGTTTCTCTGACCTGACCTTAGGCTTCAGGGGAGCAGTAATGAGGAGGGAGCTAAATTTCTCCCTGGAGAAGCCAGTCCAGGGAGTCTTGAATTGTCATACTGATGCTGTTGGGGGCTTCTTTCCTGCGTGGAGAGATGTGGGCCAGGGATCAGGCAGAGAATGTTTTTGACCAAGCTGGGGTGAAGCGTGGGAGATATATTCATGCCAGGACATCATTGCAGAGCACCTGTCTCCCTTAGTGCAGGGCTTCAGGGTTGTGTCTTCTTATGCTCGGGGCTAGGCCTGGCTGCTGTGACATTGCTGCACTTGTGCAAAAGGCGTTCCCATTTCCTCTGGTCTGGCCCGTTTTGGGATGACAAAACCTCTGGTTTATGGTAGCACTGGATGCCTTGGGTTTCTGACCAGCCAGGCTTGTGATCCCTGGCCTTGAGGACTGGCCACAGCCTTTTCTTAAGGAACGAGAAAACTTCCACTTCCAGCAAAGAATTTAGATTTTGGGAGAGCTGCAGGAGGAGTGTCTGCCCAGTCCTGAGTGGGCTGGATGAGCAAGATGCGCCAGGAGGGAGGAGAGTGGCACCCCTTCCCCCAGGGCGCTCTCACTGCGCCACCCCAGCTGACAGACTGGGCTGGGTGGGGCTGCCCGCCCCTGGGTGCATCTCCTCAAGGAGACGGAGGCGGCCCAGGGATGGGCTGGTTCCTTGCGGCAGCTTCTCCAGCTGCCCTGGTGCAGAGATTGGTTCCCGTCTGCAGCTAGGTAACAGGCGGTGGGAGGGGATTGGCTCCTTCCGCATCTCCAGCGGAGACTTGGGGGAGGAGATTGGCTCTCGGCGCAGCCTAGGTAACGACAGTGGGAGGGGATTGGCTCTTTCCGCAGCCCAGCTGCTGACCTGGGGGAGGGGATTGGCTCTCTGCAGCCTCAGCAGTGACCTGCGGGGTGGGAGGGGGAGGGGATTGGCTCCTTGCTGCAGCCTAGGTAACAAGTTTGGGGGGCGTGGGGAGGGGGAGAGAGGGAGGAGCGGGAGGATAGGCCCAGGAGGGAGCTTGCTTTCCTCTGCAGCTTGAGCACGGAGCATGGGGTGGGAGTCCCATCTCACTGCAGCCTCTGCGGTGAGCTCAGGGTGGGGGCTGCTGGGCGCCTGAGTGGAACTGGGGTTGTGAGGTGGGAGGGGGCTGCTCAAGGATGGAGGAAGGGGGCTGGGCTGGGCCGCCCAGGCAGCAGCACGGGCGGGGCACCCTCCTCGGGCCCCTTGGAGCTAGCAAGGGGCCACCCTTCCAGCCTGGTGTGCTCCCTGCAAGCCACGAGCTCCTTGCAGCCCCCTGTCCGGCTTCCCGGCGCCGGCTGCCCTGGGGCTCATCTCGCAGACCATGACCCGCCTGGACCGCAGCTCTCACAGTGGTGGGGGCCATGCCAAAGGCAGCCGGCCCCTTAACTCTTTGCTGGCTGGTCACCAGGTGGCCCAGCCCCCTTCTGCTCCTGGGTCCAGGGCTTCTGTTCAGGTTGGTGTATGTGCGGGAGACTAAAGCGAGTAGTACATCTGGGAGGGCTTAGGATTGGGAGGGTTATGGTGGGAAAGGGTTAGGAAGTTGGGTCTGGTCTAAAGATACTGCTTCTGAAAAGTGCTTTTTAACCCTGAATGGAAGGCAACACTATAGTTTCTTCAGATTTAAGGAGGGCTCAGTCCCAGGGGGTGGCTTGTATATAGGAAACCCAGATGGCTCTACTTATTGGGGTTCTATGCTACTGGCAATGGGGGTGGCAGTTGGTGCAGGAATGTTCAAAAGCCACCAGGATAGAGCAGGAGGGAGGCATTTGATGCCCAGGGTGGCATTCGGAGCTGAGCAGTGATGGGGGCTGTGTCCTTGAATAGGCTGGCTGATGGGGAATCGGTGAGTCCTGGGGTGTGGTAAGGAAGGGACACAGTGGGGCTGGTCTGGGCAGGGGTGGGATGCCTAGTGGGGTCATTTGACTACCTGAGTCTCCCCTGGGGTGGAGGCAGCTTGCCAGGATCAGCTGAGAGTGGGAATTCTGGCAGGGTTGGATCTTGAGGTGAGTGAGCTTTAGGAGTTGTGAATGTTCAGCTTTACTCCTGCTGTCAGCTGGGTAAGGGGGAATGGGCCTAGGAAGGGCTGGAGACAGCCTGTCCATTGTCATTGGTTGCATCAGGTGGTTGGAAATGCAGGGATTTTCCTCTTCAGCCCACCCCACCCCTTTATGCAAATGAATGGCACCACAGGCTGATGCAAGCCTGGCCACTGCTAAGCAATTCTGGCTGACAGTTTGCCTTTGCTTTACCTGGCCAGCGTCCTACTAACCAAGTTTTAAGGGGTTCCCATTCCCTGAATGAGAGGTGTCTCCTGATTTCCCCACCTTGTAGGAGTGAGGCAGCCCTGCCTTGTAGCCTGGGTGTGTCTCTAGTCAGGATCCTAAGCCTTTAGACCTTTATGGTGATAGCTGTGCTAATAGATTTTGCTAGTAGCTCTTTTACGGGGAAGGAGTAGTGTCTGAAAATGGATGAATGTAGGCTTGCTGGTGCAGAGGGCGGGAGGTGAAGGCTGGCAGGGTGCGGGGCTGGGAGGGGCTTTCCCAGGACTAACTGGAGCAACACTAAGAGGGACCTCTGAGGACAGGACAGGGAGGGTCCTTGGGACCTGAAAGCTAAAGTCATGGTGATCTGTCTTTCAGGACATAGATCTGATTGACATCCTTTGGCGACAGGATATTGACCTGGGGGCTGGGCGTGAGGTTTTTGACTATAGTCATCGCCAAAAAGAGCAAGATGTGGATAAGGAGCTGCAAGATGGAAACGAGCAGGAAACCTGGGCTGGTGAGGGAGGCGAAGCTTTGGCACGAAACCTGCTAGTGGATGGAGAGACCGGGGAGAGCTTCCCTGCACAGGTACCACCACCTCTGCCTGCTGGGCTCTTCTCTCCCTGTTCCCCTGAAACTCAACAAACTAGGCTACAGTTCTTCCAGAAATTTCCCTTAAGGCAGGTTGTGTATGGGGTAGACTTAAATTTCTATTTTGGGTTAGGGTTTCTAAGTCACAGCAGCTGAGCTGAGGAGGGGGGAGTGGATAAGCAGCAGATGCAGAAGGCCTTGGCAACAGACAACACAAAGGAGGAAAAGCATCTAGCATCTTCCTCCTTGCTTCAGGACCCTTCCACTCTCCCTTTTGTTGTCCTGGGAGTTCGGGATTTGGGGAATGGGAGGGAGACTGCGGAACTGGAGCCATGCTGGGGAAGAGACTTCAGCCCCAGGCACCCAAGGCCCCGATCAGTCAGACTTACAGTTGCTGTTGCCACAGGTGCCTGGTGGGGAGGACCAGACGGCCCTGTCCCTGGAAGAGTGCCTTAGGCTGCTGGAGGCCACCTGCCCCTTTGGGGAGAATGCTGAGGTGAGCAGGACTCCAGGGAGAGTCCACCAAGCAAGCAGGGCAGCCTGCATTGGTGTGTTCCTCCAAGGCTGAGGGGCCAGCTGTTGGTTCTGGCCTCGTCCTGGCTGCTGGGGGTAAATGCGAGGAAGGAAGAAACAGAAGCAGACTCCAGGTGGTCATCTCTGGGAGAAAAGCACAAGGTGGTCTTTCTTTCTCCCCTGTTATAAAGCCTCTGTGTTTTGCCCTAGTTTTCAGCAGACATTTCCAGCATAACAGAAGCAGTGCCTAGTGAGAGTGAGCCCCCAGTTCTTCAAAACAACCTCTTGTCTCCTCTCCTGACGGGGACAGAGTCACCATTTGATTTGGAACAACAGTGGCAAGATCTCATGTCCATCATGGAAATGCAGGTAGGATTGTCAAGATGGAGTACAAACCTATCAGAATTTGTATAGTCCACTGCTTTCTCTAGAGAGAGGAATATGAGTAATATTTTCTCTGAGCCATAGGAAAGTGGGGACACTGGGAAGTAACCTGTCTAGGTGTCTTCTTGGGGGGTGGGGAGTGGAGACAGGGGTAGGGTCTGGGTTAAATGAAATCTAAGACAGCCTACTAGGACCTGCTTCCTAGGCAGATAGTCACTTGTCTGGGTGCTTCTAAGGTTCCCAGTTGATAGCTGACACTTGCCTAGTGCTTTGCAGCTATAGTTTTCTCACTCAGCCTTCACAATCATCTGGTCAGCCCTTTATTATTTCAAAAGTAAGGAAACTGAAGCTCAGAGGGATTAAGTGATGTCCCTGTGGTCACACAGCAAGTGGTGTAGGTAGGTTTCCTGATTTCACTGATTTTGCACTAAAGAGATAGTGTTTTCTTCCTCTCCAAGACAGTGGTTCTCAACTTGTGGGTCATGACCCACGGGAACTGTATTAAAGGGCCGTGGCATTAGGAAGGTTGAGAACCACTGCTCTAAGATGTGGGAGTCAGGCCAGATATAACAAGGAGCTGGTCAGTCCTGCACTGGGGTGGAGCCCACATGAAGGAACCCTTCTCTGCCAGGCCTGATGGACCAAGCGTGGCCAGGAGGTGACACTGTGGCTTTTGGTTTCCAGTCTCTGTCCTTTCTACCCATGCAGCTGTCTGTGCTTCTGTTGGGTGCCTACAGTATGTGAGCCCCAAGGGAGAGGGGTCTGCTCTTAGTGAAGAGTGGTGTTCTTCTCCCCTCCCAGGCCATGGAAGTGAACACGTCAGCAAGTGAAATCCTTTACAATACCCCTCCTGGAGACCCACTGAGCACCAACTATAGCCTTGCCCCCAACACTCCCATCAATCAGAATGTCAGCCTGCATCAGGCTTCCCTGGGGGGCTGCAGCCAGGACTTCTCACTCTTCAGCCCCGAGGTGGAAAGCCTGCCTGTGGCTGGCAGCTCCACGCTGCTTCCACTGGTCCCCAGCAATTCCACCAGCCTCAACTCCACCTTTGGCTCCACCAACCTGGGAGGATTCTTCTTTCCACCCCAGCTCAACGGCACAGCCAATGACACAGCAGGCCCCGAGCTGCCTGACCCACTGGGGGGCCTGTTAGATGAAGCCATGCTGGATGAGATCAGCCTAATGGACCTGGCCATTGAAGAAGGCTTTAACCCTGTGCAGGCCTCGCAGCTTGAGGAGGAGTTTGACTCTGACTCAGGCCTCTCCTTGGACTCCAGCCATAGCCCCTCCTCCCTGAGCAGCTCTGAGGGTAGCTCTTCCTCTTCCTCTTCTTCCGCTTCCTCTGCTTCTTCCTCTGCCTCTTCCTCCTTTTCTGAGGAAGGTGCTGTTGGCTACAGCTCTGACTCTGAGACCCTGGATCTGGAAGAGGCCGAGGGTGCTGTGGGCTACCAACCTGAGTATTCCAAGTTCTGCCGCATGAGCTACCAGGATCCGTCACAGCTCTCCTGCCTGCCCTACTTGGAGCACGTGGGCCACAACCACACATACAACATGGCACCCAGCGCCCTCGACGCTGCTGATCTGCCGCCGCCCAGCGCCCTCAAGAAGGGTAGCAAGGAGAAGCAGGCCGACTTCCTGGATAAGCAGATGAGCCGGGATGAGCACAGAGCCCGGGCCATGAAGATCCCTTTTACCAATGACAAAATCATCAACCTTCCTGTGGAGGAGTTCAACGAGCTGCTGTCCAAATACCAGCTCAGTGAGGCCCAGCTGAGCCTCATCCGGGATATCCGGCGCCGGGGCAAGAACAAGATGGCGGCGCAGAACTGCCGCAAGCGCAAGCTGGACACCATCCTAAACTTGGAGCGAGATGTGGAAGACCTGCAGCGTGATAAAGCCCGGCTGCTGCGGGAGAAGGTGGAATTCCTGCGGTCTCTGCGGCAGATGAAGCAGAAGGTCCAGAGTCTGTACCAGGAGGTGTTTGGGCGACTGCGGGATGAAAATGGACGACCCTACTCGCCTAGCCAGTATGCGCTCCAGTACGCTGGGGATGGCAGTGTCCTCCTCATCCCCCGCACGATGGCCGACCAACAGGCCCGGCGGCAGGAGAGGAAGCCAAAGGACCGGAGAAAGTGAGCCTGGGGAGGAAGGGGGGTTGACGTTCACCAAGACTGAAACTGGAGAAGGGCTGGGCCTGGACCTGGACCTACAGGGGGACTTTAATGCCTTCTTATCCAGTATATCTTCTCAGATGGGATGACTGCGGGTCAGTGTACAGGAAGAGGCAGGCGCAGGCGCTGTCTGGCTCTACCCCCCCCCCCCAACTGGGGTAGGGTGGAAGTGGTCAGACCACTTGGTGGACAGGGTCCTCACCCTACCCCTTTTCCTGTTGAGGCAAGGGTGGTGGCTGGCATTGCTGGAGGTAGTAAAGCTATGCAGAGCGAAGGCCGGCGAAGGGAAAGGGGGGATCTGTGAGAGGAGAGGAAAGTAGGAGAAAGTTGCATTCCAGGAAGGAAGGAAGGAAGGAAGGAAGTGAAAAAGGAAAGAAATCCCCCAAAAAATCAAAGCGGGAAGAAAATCAAAGGGAAAAGTTAGGTTGCTTTGGCCAGGATTCCAGGCAGCAGGTTTGAATGACTCCGATGGGCCTAGGTTACTAGTGTGATAAACCCCATTTCACCCCAGGGGGACACACAGACACAGGGATGGGGGTGGGGCTTAACTTTTCTGCTCCTTGCACTTTGGCATCCTTGAAGGAGAGCTGTTGGATATTATTGCCTGTAATGTTTCAATCTAATGGGAACCACTGGGACTCAGGACTGGCTTGGAGGTTTAGGGTGAAAGTAGAGTGAAGAAAAAGGGGTCGAGTCCCCATGCTGCAGTAGCCCCAACACTACGCATGTCACTCACTGCCTTGCCACTGCCATCTCCCTCTCTGCTTCAGCCATCTCTGAGCTGAGGCTCCTTCTGTCTCCATCAAAGCCTGCATGTGAATGCTGTCCTCTTCCTGTCATCCTATGTCTTTGTCCCATCCTGTAACCCCTCACCCCTCTCAGCTGCCTGTAGCTCTTCTGCAGCTGGGCGCGGTGCTGGTGCTGGCAGTGCTCCTGGTACTGGGCCCAGCCTTCCTCTGGGAATTTCTGAGGCAGGGGGATGGTGTGGAGGGAGAAACCAGTGCACCAACCTCCAGGCAGTATTCAGCACAACACTGGGGAGTGACCCTTCCCTCAGGCCTCTGCCAACAACTGAGCAAATCACTGGGAAAACACAAAAACTAAAACCCAGCAACTACACAAAAAACCCTAGTCCACTTAGAATTTCTTGCGCTTTGATTTTTTTAGGGTTTGTGCCCTGTTTTCACTTATAGGGTCTAGAATGCTTGTATTGAGTAAAAAGGAGATGCCCCAATATCAAAGCTGCTAAATGTTCTCTTTGCCATAAAGACTCCGTGTAACTGTGTGAACACTTGGGATTTTTCTCCTCTGTCCTGAGGTCTCCGTCTTTCTTTTTTGGGTTTCTAGGAGAATGGGAGGCGCATGTAATGGGGGCTGAGAGCATTCTCCCCTACGAGCTTTGGGCCGCAGGCAGCTTCTTCACAGCCCCAGCTTACCACAGGCTCCTGGAGGACTGCCTGGGGGAGACAGAGATGGGGAGCCAAGGTAGCAGATGGCTTCAAGACCACAGTGTCTTTATTTTTAACTGCTACTGCTGCCCCAGCTCTGCCGGGCTCTGAAGTACTGCCCCAGACTAGCAGGAGTGAGTTGGGGGAGAGAAGCAGTGATTCCTCCTGCATGGGGGGGAAAAGGGTTCCTAACTGAACAGTAGGAGTAGAAGGTGTGAGCCTGGGAGTGCTTTTATAAATTATTTTCCTTGTAGATTTTATTTTTAATTTATCTTTGTGACCTGGCAGGGAGAGGAGAGAAGGAAAGAGATGCTGTTGAGCACATGACAAAATAAAATAAAATAAAATGGATGATTCATTCTCAAGTGCAGTTTTTCCCCACTTTGAATTTAAATTAAGAGTAAAGGAAACAGGCCCCATGTGGGGAGGACTGGCCATTGTGTGGCTGAGGCAAGAGCACACTTGGGAAGGTGGGTGGAGAGCTGGGGAGGTTGACATGGAGAATCTAAAAAGACAGAAGTCTTAAATGCTATATTGAACCTTCTAGGCAGATGTTACATACATTAGAGCAGTTGTTCCCAACCTTCCTAATGCTGCGGCCCTTTAATACAGTTCCTCACGTTGTGGTGACCCCCAACCATAGCATTATTTTTGGTTGCTTCTTCATAACTAATTTTGCTACTGTTATGAATCGTAATGTAAATATCTGATATGCAGGATGTATTTAGGTGACCCCTGTAAGGGGGGTCATTTGGCCCCCTTTAGGGTTTGCTAGCTGAATCCTCTCAGAGGAAGGATTCAGACCTCTTTGGGCCTCCCACCTCTTAACAGGATAGGTATAATCTGGCCCAGCTCCTTAACCTGTCCACCTGCTACAAACCATGTTTAAGCTTAGTTGTGCTGTTATTTTTCCAGTGGCTCCCCCTGCCAAAGAGGCACAGTATATTGGAGTGTAGTCATGACATCGAAAACCTGAGAAATCAATGGGACCAACATATGGCAAGCACTATATATAGCATGACCAAGAGCAGGAACAGAATAGGAAGCCAGGCCCAGGCCTTAAGACAGAAAACCTCTCCAGCTAAGGTGACTAGAATCTCTTCTACCTCGAAAAATTTGCTCTAATACCCAGCTTGTGGTGAGCTGTACTGCCTTAGGGTACCTTGGGGTAAATACTAGAACTCCCACATGCCCAGCTTAGGAGGGGTGCTTAGTAAATGCCTGAGGCATGAACATACTCACATGGCAGCCTTTTAAGAGTTTATCAGACAAGGTTTAGGAGAAGTTGCAATCCTCATAATGGAACCTGTGATCTTGACCTGGGTACCACTTTGTAACCTGGCTCAGTTCAGTTCTTTAATGAAGCTACTAAAGTCCTAAGGGGTGGAGTAGAAGTCTAAGAATAACACTGATTACTTACATTTACATTTACAAGAGCTTTACCCCTGGCTCTCCCAATCTCTGGTTGGAAATAGTTGGTCATATCAGACAACTCTTGATTAGGAATTGACTAATGTCTGTAAACTGGATAAAACCAAGATTCTTAAAGGGAAACACTAAAAATTAAATTTGAGAGACATTAATTCATGCCAATAATTTTTAAAATACAAATTATATGTAGAAGGGTAAACTGCAATGAGTAAAATTCATTTATTTAATGTTTTTTGTATGCTTTCTAGAAATGTGTGTACAGTCATGTGTTGCTTAACATTCTGAGAAGCACTTGTGTTAGGCAGCTCTGTTGTGTGAACATAGAGTGTACTTAACACAAACCTAGATGGTGCAGCTAGGCTACGTGGTACTAGCCTGTTGCTCCCAGGATACAAATCTGCACGTTACTGTACTGAGACTGCAGGCAACTGGAACACAATGGTATTTGTGTATTTAAACCTATCTAAGTGTAGAAAAGGAGCAGTAAAAATACCGTATTGTAATCTTTTGGATCTACCATCACATATATGGACTGTAACAAAATGTTACGTGGCACATGCAGTCATATATGTATTTTTGTTTAGTAGACAATCAGGCCATAATTTGTTCTGCACTTTTTTTTTTTTGAGACAGAGTCGCCCTTGGTAGAGTGCTGTGGCGTGGCGTGGCGTGGCGTGGCATCACAGCTCATAGCAACTTCAAACTCTTGGGCTCAAGTGATGCTCTTGCCTCAGCCTCCGAGTTTAACTAGGACCACAGGTGCACAGGCGCTCACCACAATGCCTGGCCATTGTTTTTTTGTTGTTGTTGTAGGTGTCTTTGTTTAGCAGGCCCGGGCTGGGCTTGAACCTGCCACTTCGGTGAATGTGGTAGGTGCCCTACTCATAGAGCTATGGGCACTGAGCTTACAACCTTTTTTTTTTACTTAAAAGATTTATATTGGCAACTTCTGAAATAATCTTACTGAAGGAAAAGTTTTCTTGTTTTAAATAAATTTATTGGCGAGAAAAAAAAGATTTATAGAGATTTGAAAAATTCTTCTTTATCCCTTTCTAAGTGTTATACCTGTTCTAAGTCAGTGTGTTTTTTTTTGTTTTTTTTTTTTTTTTGAGACAGAGCCTCAAGCTGCCCCCCTGGGTAGAGTGCTATGGCATTACAGCTCACAGCAAGCTCCAACTCCTGGGCTCAAGCGAGTCTCCTGCCTCCGCCTCCCAAGTAGCTGGGACCACAGGCGCCCGCCACAATGCCCGGCTATTTTTTGGTTGCAGCCGTCATTGTTGTTTTGGCGGGGCCGGGCTGGGGATTCGAACCCGCCACCTTAGGTGTACGTGGCTGGTGCCTTAGCCGGTTGAGCTATAGGCGCCGAGCCTAAGTCAGTGTGTTTTTAATAACCCCCCTAACCCCTTGCAGAGAAATGTAGTTTTGTCTGGGATCATGCTGATTAGCTTGGGGCATGGGGCCAAGTTGGTCAGCGCTGCTGTGGGGCTGACCTCTTTTTCTGCTGGCAGGTAGAGTGGGTGTTCTAGCCTCCAGACTTTTTCTGGCAGGGAGAAGATAGGAGGTCACACAAGAGCTGCTACCGCTAACCCATCCATCTATGACAGGAAATGAGAAGAGGTCCTGGGTCAAGGCAGGGAGATAAGCAGGCCTTAGGCTTAACTGAGGACCAAACTCTGCAAGGTGACCTGCTCCTTGAGTGGGCCAAGGAGCTAGCTTTTTTTTTGACTTTGGCAATCCTAGGCTTCATTCAAACTGATATTTCCACATATCTTAAGTCATGTAAGGAAATGGAACAGACTAGTGTTTCAACCCTGTGTGATCCCACCAGCTGGGGCTATCTCATCAATACAGATAGAATGTATATATACAAGTGCCTTGCATAAAAAATAATAACCTTCCTACCCTCAACTCTTCTACCTCATTTCTGTAGGTACTGATCAAGAACAAAAACTTTAAAAGCTCAGACTAAAAAATGCAGTTCAGACCTGGCACAGTGGTTCATGCCTGTAATCATAGCACTCTGGAGCCAAGGCAGGTGGATTGCTTGAGCTCAGAAGTTAGAAACTAGCCTGAGCAGGATTGAGACCCTGTCTAAAAAACAGCCAGGCATTGTGGTCGGTGCCTGTAGTCCCAGCTACTTAGGCTGAGGCAAAAGGATTACTTGAACCTAGGAGTTTGAGGTTGCTGTTAGCTATGAAAACAGCACTCTCGCCTGGAGCAACAGACTGAGACTCTGCCTCCAAAATTAATAAATAAATCAATTTTTAAAAGTTCAGGACACTCGGCTCGGCGCCTATAGCTCAACCGGCTAAGGCGCCAGCCACGTACACCTAAGGTGGCGGGTTCGAATCCCCAGC